CCTAACTGGAGGTGTGGTGGCTACAGAGGTTTTGCCCAGGCCTTCCTCAGCTGGAAGTAAGGCTTAAGGATCGCATAATTTTTGTATTATGGCAGGACATACAGACCCCAACTGAGATCAGAGTCCCATTGTGCTCAGCTCTGCGCATACCCATAGTTTCCTTTGTTTCTAGCCTCTTGGGAAGCAGAAACCATACAATCTAACTAGACAATCCAGACAGTGATTGAGAACAAAAGGGGAAACAGAGGAACCAAGGTGTCACAGCATGTTACTGACAGAGCTAGGGAGTTAGACCCTGGTCTCTTACCACCAGTTCAGTGCCCTAGCCACTATACCACACTGCCTCTCTCCTGTGTACTTGCACTTTATGCAAAGTGAGAGGATTTAGCCTTCTACAATTTTAACAATTTCTTCATCCAGGATTACTCTGTTTGTGAGGTGATTTGGCCTGTATAATAGAATACTGCTTAAAAAGCACTCATGTTTTATGGAGCAGAGGCCACTGAATGAAGCTTTTGTGGCCCATACGAGACTCCAGGGCAACAGAAAACAGCAATTCCTAGAAATGTTTACAAACATAATCCTTGAAGGATTTTTTATGTATTAAAAATTTTTAAACTAGGCTCATCTTGTTTGTGTTGACACCAATAGAATATATGCAAATTGTTAGTTTAATCTATTATACAAGAAAAAAAAATCTACTGAGATACATTCAACAGAGGTAAAGCAAGAAAATCACATATTGACTGGGACTGATTCTTACTGTTTTTGTTTGCAAGAATTTATTATTATAGGCTATCATCCACCTCCTGGGCTTTATGATTACAGTAGTGCGTTTTAGAGCATGTCTCCAGTATGATCTCTTTTGGGTCAACCACTGACACAGATCTCAGCTGTACCTACCTTACAGATGTAAAATGCATGCAGTTTAAGAAAGAAGACAAAAATGAGAGCAGAAGACAGCTGAAAAACAGTAGAATGTAAAAGTAAGGATTTTCGGTAAGTAGAAACCCTAACGAGGATTACAACAGAATCACAGGATTCTGACAGGATAATATGGCATAATAAGCTTTGAAAATTATGCAGCATCAAGCAGTGTAATTCTATACCCTATGCTGAATTTTAATTTCTCTAGTGGAGAGCCATTGGAGTCAGCACACCTTGATATCTTTCTCTTTTATTCCTTCAGGATGCTATGCACCCTTTTTTCTTTTTTTCTGCTGTGATGCAAATTATAATGTGAATATATTTTGTTGATACAAATTCATGTGCACTAAAATAAGACATGGAAATTCCAGTTGTTTTTACCTTTGCTGAAAATTGGGACTAATAGTGGAATCATTCAAAAACTGACAGAGGGCAGAATAGTTTTTGAACTGCTTCACCTGTGGAATTAATATGTAAAGAAAGTAAGTACGTGTTCAATTATTTTTCTATTTGCTGCTATTTTAAGTAAGCAAGTACAATATGATATTGCATGTAAACACACAGAATAAAAATATTCAGAATATCTAAGGATTGTAATGCTCATTATTTTTTCTCTGAACTTGTGAACATATGTTATTTGTAACAAACTAGAGTACAGTATTAATTGTGTTTTCAGATTTGATTTTTACGTCAGGTTCTCTTCTAGTGTAACTTATCAGAACTGTTAAAGTCAACGGAGCTCAGATAATTTTATACCTCTATCCTGCTCCTTTGAGTTCACCATTTTAATATTTCTCCCCTAAATACTATGAAAGAGAAAGTTAAATTTTGTAATGGAGTTTTTGCTGCCATTGAAAAGTTATTCCATGCCAGATAATTTGAAAAGATGCATTCCTGAAAAAGGTAGGAACTAATTTTTATGAGGTAGCTGAAGAATCTTGCAAAATGACAACTGTACTTTACTGGCTTTGTTGAACTGTAATAAAGTAGTAAATCAACAGTGACTGTGACCCTTTTCTGGTTATATCATTGATTTATCCATGTGGGGTCCTACTGAAAGGTAAGAATGGGGGACTTCACCAGCCTAGGTTACTGAAATGATCCCGTCTGACATAAGATTACATGTTCAAAGCTTCTGCTACTGAGTGCTCAATCTTAATTAGGCAAAAGGTGCTTTTTTAAAAGATTTTATTTTGGAGGCTAGTTCTGAAAGTAGTACAGAACAACTTTTCCTGTTTTTGTTTTAATGCATTATTGCAGTCTGGCTAGACAGAGCAGTAATTGAGGATTGTGGTAGAATTGTTCTAGAGCACTGAAGAGACACGAGTTCTAGATATTTAAATTTTTGTTTCATTTGTTAAGCCTCTGTCTTGACATGGCTCTTTCCAAATGGAATACAACATCCATCCTTAATGCAAGCAAGTAGGAGAAGCAGTGAAGTGTGAAGGAATAATATAGGCTGTTCAGCTCTCTAGATATCACATGTTCATCTTTGTCTCTAGCTACTGTATGAGATGGAATAAGGAAGAAATATGGATTTTTGAGATGTGTTCCATAATCCAAGATATTTGTGACCATTTCTTCAGACACAGCCAAATCCACACCCACTGGTGAAAGAGAATTTCTTTAAATCTCTCCTATGACAGGACAATGATAATACAATGTTATGTGCACATTGCTTATTACAACTGTGATACCTAAATGAGGGGTGAACTTTTTGAAAATCTGGTCCTTAATATCTCTATACTCAGTTGCCCAACTGTAAAGTTGGACTAATACATCAAAGGGCTGTTCTGAAGATAGATTAATGTTTGAACTACTCAGATATGATGATGGAGGCTATGTGATAGAAATACCTTAATAAAAAGAAGAGCAAGTAAACCCTAATCAAATAGAGTAATTTCATGCAGAAACCAGATGCTGAACACAATGGAGTTGGCCAGAGTAAGAGCACAGATCCTAGAGATTATTTATGATGCAAGACCCTGTCTATACACATTGGCACCAGTTTAACTAAAGGTGTGGTTTTAAAAGCAATTTAGTGAAACTGAAGCAAATCCATGTGTAGACACTCTTATTTCAATTTAGCTTAACCTGATAATATAGATTAAGCTAAACTGAAATGTGTCTACACACAGACTTGCGCCAGTTTCAATGTCACTTTAAAACACACACCCTTAGGGTATGTCTACACTACGAAATTAAGTCGAATTTATAGAAGTCGTTTTTTTTAGAAATCGGTTTTATATATTCGAGTGTGTGTGTCCCCACAGAAAATGCTCTAAGTGCATTAAGTGCATTAACTCGGCGGAGCGCTTCCACAGTACCAAGGCAAGCGTCGACTTCCGGAGCATTGCACTGTGGGTAGCTATCCCACAGTTCCCGCAGTCTCCGCTGCCCATTGGAATTCTGGGTTGAGATCCCAATGCCTGATGGGGCTAAAACATTGTCGCGGGTGGTTCTGGGTACATATCGTCAGCCCCCCGTTCCCTCCCTCCCCCCCCCCCCCCCCGTGAAAGCAAGGGCAGACAATCATTTCGCGCCTTTTTTCCTGAGTTACCTGTGCAGACGCCATACCACGGCAAGCATGGAGCCCGCTCAGCTCACTTTGGCAATTAGGAGCACATTAACCACCACACGCATTATTCAGCAGTATATGCAGCACCAGAACATGGCAACGCGATACCGGGCGAGGAGGCGACGTCAGCGCGGTCCCGTGAGTGATCAGGACATGGACACAGATTTCTCTGAAAGCATGGGCCCTGACAATGCATGCATCATGGTGCTAATGGGGCAGGTTCATGCTGTGGAAGGCCGATTCTGGGCTCGGGAAACAAGCACAGACTGGTGGGACCGCATAGTGTTGCAGGTCTGGGACGATTCCCAGTGGCTGCGAAACTTTCGCATGCGTAGGGGCACTTTCATGGAACTTTGTGACTTGCTTTCCCCTGCCCTGAAGCGCATGAATACCAAGATGAGAGCAGCCCTCACAGTTGAGAAGCGAGTGGCGATAGCCCTGTGGAAGCTTGCAACGCCAGACAGCTACCGGTCAGTTGGGAATCAATTTGGAGTGGGCAAATCTACTGTGGGGGCTGCTGTGATGCAAGTAGCCCACGCAATCAAAGATCTCCTGATATCAAGGGTAGTGACCCTGGGAAATGTGCAGGTCATAGTGGATGGCTTTGCTGCAATGGGATTCCCTAACTGTGGTGGGGCTATAGACGGAACCCATATCCCTATCTTGGCACCGGAGCACCAAGCCGCCGAGTACATAAACCGCAAGGGGTACTTTTCGATAGTGCTGCAAGCTCTGGTGGATCACAAGGGACGTTTCACCAACATCAACGTGGGATGGCCGGGAAAGGTGCATGATGCTCGCATCTTCAGGAACTCTGGTCTGTTTCAAAAGCTGCAGGAAGGGACTTTATTCCCAGACCAGAAAATAACTGTTGGGGATGTTGAAATGCCTATATGTATCCTTGGGGACCCAGCCTACCCCTTAATGTCATGGCTCATGAAGCCATACACAGGCAGCCTAGACAGTGGTCAGGAGCTGTTCAACTACAGGCTGAGCAAGTGCAGAATGGTGGTAGAATGTGCATTGGGACGTTTAAAGGCGCGCTGGCGCAGTTTACTGACTCGCTTAGACCTCAGCGAAACCAATATTCCCACTGTTATTACTGCTTGCTGTGTGCTCCACAATATCTGTGAGAGTAAGGGGGAGACGTTTATGGCGGGGTGGGAGGTTGAGGCAAATCGCCTAGCTGCTGGTTACGCGCAGCCAGACACCAGGGCGGTTAGAAGAGCACAGGAGGGCGCGGTACGCATCAGAGAGACTTTGAAAACCAGTTTCATGACTGGCCAGGCTACGGTGTGAAAGTTCTGTTTGTTTCTCCTTGATGAACCCCCCCGCCCCTTGGTTCACTCTACTTCCCTGTAAGCTAACCACCCTCCCCTCCTCCCTTTAATCATTGCTTGCAGAGCCAATAAAGTCATTGCTGCTTCACAGTCATGCATTCGTTATTCATTCATCACACAAATAGGGGGATGACTACCAAGGTATCCCAGGTGGGGTGGTGGAGGAGGGAAGGAAAATGCCACACAGCACTTTAAGCACAGCACTTTAAAAGTTTACAACTTTAAAATTTATTGAATGACAGCCTTCTTTTTTTTGGGCAGTCCTCTGTGGTGGAGTGGCTGGTTGGCCGGAGGCCCCCCCACCGCGTTCTTGGGCGTCTGGGTGTGGAGGCTATGGAACTTGGGGAGGAGGGCGGTTGGTTACAGAGGGGCTGCAGTGGCAGTCTGTGCTCCAGCTGCCTTTGCTGCAGCTCAACCATACACTGGAGCATACTGGTTTGGTCCTGCAGCAGCCTCAGCATTGAATCCTGCCTCCTCTCATCACGCTGCCGCCACCTTTGAGCTTCAGCCCTGTCTTCAGCCCACCACTTACTCTCTTCAGCCCGCCACTTACTCTCTTCAGCCCTCCACCTCTCCTCCCGGTCATTTTGTGCTTTCCTGCACTCTGACATTATTTGCCTCCACGCATTCGTCTGTGCTCTGTCAGTGTGGGAGGACAGCATGAGCTCGGAGAACATTTCATCGCGAGTGCGTTTTTTTTTCTTTCTAAGCTTCACTAGCCTCTGGGAAGGAGAAGATCCTGTGATCATTGAAACACATGCAGCTGGTGGAGAAAAATAAGGGGACAGCGGTATTTAAAAAGACACATTTTATAAAACAGTGGCTACACTCTTTCAGGGTAAACCTTGCTGTTAACATTACATACATAGCACATGTGCTTTCGTTACAAGGTCGCATTTTGCCTCCTCCCACCGTGTGAACGGATTTTGGTTGAATGCCAGCAAACATACACTGCAATGCTTTGTTCTACAGTGATTCCCGAGTACGTGTTACTGGCCTGGAGTGGTAAAGTGTCCTACCATGAAGGACGAAATAAGGCTGCCCTCCCCAGAAACCTTTTGCAAAGGCAGAACCGCAAATGCCAGGGCAAAGTAATCCTTTCACATGCTTGCTTTTAAACCATGTATAGCATTTTAAAAGGTACACTCACCAGAGGTCCCTTCTCCGCCTGCTGAGTCCAGGAGGCAGCCTTGGGTGGGTTCGGGGGGTACTGGCTCCAGGTCTAGGGTGAGAAACAGTTCCTGGCTGTCGGGAAAACCGGTTTCTCCGCTTGCTTGCTGTGAGCTATCTACAACCTCATCATCATCATCTTCTTCGTCCCCAAAACCTACTTCCGTATTGCCTCCATCTCCATTGAAGGAGTCAAACAACACGGCTGGGGTAGTGGTGGCTGAACCCCCTAAAATGGCATGCAGCTCATCATAGAAGCGGCATGTTTGGGGCTCTGACCCAGAGCGGCTGTTCGCCTCTCTGGTTTTCTGGTAGGCTTGCCTCAGCTCCTTCAGTTTCACGCGGCACTGCTTCGGGTCCCTGTTATGGCCTCTGTCCTTCATGCCCTGGGAGATTTTGACAAAGGTTTTGGCATTTCGAAAACTGGAACGGAGTTCTGATAGCACGGATTCCTCTCCCCAAACAGCGATCAGATCCCGTACCTCCCGTTCGGTCCATGCTGGAGCTCTTTTGCGATTCTGGGACTCCATCATGGTCACCTGTGCTGATGAGCTCTGCATGGTCACCTGCAGCTTGCCACGCTGGCCAAACAGGAAATGAGATACAAAAGTTTGCGGTTCTTTTCCTGTCTACCTGGCCAGTGCATCTGAGTTGAGAGTGCTGTCCAGAGCGGTCATAATGGAGCACTCTGGGATAGCTCCCGGAGGCCAATACCATCGAATTGTGTCCACAGTACCCCAAATTCGAGCCGGCAACATCGATTTAAGCACTAATCCACTTGTCAGGGGTGGAGTAAGGAAATCGATTTTAAGAGCCCTTTAAGTCGAAATAAAGGGCTTCATTGTGTGGACGGGTGCAGGTTTAAATCGATTTAACGCTGCTAAATTCGACCTAAAGTCCTAGTGTAGACCAGGGCACAGTTAAGCTGCTCTGTGTGTGTGTGTGTGTGTGTATGTGTGTGCACGCACGCGCCCAGCCAGAGCCTTAAAGATGGCTTCAGACAGGATGAGATATAAACTCAAAGAAAGCTACACCTGTTTTGCTGCTCAGCTGTGTTCTGAAAGCTCATATGGTGCGAAGCTCTTCTCAGCATGTATAAACTATTAAGTGTTTTTCAAAATAAAGTCTTTAATTGCAAATGGTATCCCTGAGACTACTGTTCTCAGGGGACATCTTGCTGAAAAGCGACATCATTTGTGGGCCTAGCATTGTGGGAACCTCATGTAAGAGATTGTAAATTAATATGTATCCAAAAAGAAAATGTGAATGTTTAATCCTCTCGTTTTTTTTTTTTTAAAAGATGTTTTCTGTCGCACAGCAGTTACTTTCCCACTGGCTCCCTATATTACCAGTGTCACCAGTGATGTCACATTTCCAAAAGCTGTTCCCATTAGGAATTGGCTCCAAAATGTCACTTGTAATGAGAACTTTATTTTGAATTAAATTTTGCTAAGCACTTCTAATGTGACCTTTCAGAACATTGCTCTGAGCCCACTGATTGCAACTTTTCTTTAACTGTTGCTAGTTATCTTACATGGGTCCTCTGTCCAAAGTATTTTTAAATCAATATCCTGTATTGATATTAATTATTAAAATCTCTCCCAAAGAATCAAATTAGTAGGCTTTCTTTCACATATCACCTACCATTATATGACAAATGTTGAATTAACAATGAATACTTGTAGTACTAAAAGTTAATATGACATAATAAATTATTACTCAGAAAGCACTGCATTATGTAATTGGATTTTTCAATTGAGTTTATTACTCAGACAATTACTGATGGGGTACAAATGAAAAAGATTTACTATGTGATGTCATGTGCTGCATCAGTCCCATAAGAATTTATATTAATTGTCACTCAGTCCTGCCAAAATCACTTGCAGTGTGCAGTAATGAAATCCTAATAGCAGACATCTGGTTTTAAAGGGACATATTCAAAGGTTTTAAACACATACCCAAAAATGTACCTTAAAATTGTTATTACATTATGGAGAAAAGCCTCCTAATTCTAACCAGATGCCCAATCCTGACAACTTTACTCACACGAGAGTAGCTCCTTTTAGTTCACTGAGATTACTCATGTGAGTGAGGGCTGTGGAATTGGGCCCCAAATTTTAAAAAAAGAATTAATCCAAACACCCCTTCAGTGTTCCATTCTCTGTGCTGGCTTCATGGAAGCAGTAAACAGAACTGATGATATTGGTGTAGAAATATTTGGTGATCAAATCTTTAGGTGTGTCATGGGAACAGTTACAAAGAGCACTTTGTAAGGGAGCTGTCAATTCTCTGCTGTGGCTATTGGCCTGTCGCTGTCAATAGGAACTTGGAGCTCTCATAAACTTCTGTAATAACTCAGAGGAGTGCTGGCACTGTTAGCACAAGGAGCTCTCAAAACTCCTGGAGGTTCAGTGTGCTGGAGAAGCAGAGGAACCTTGACCCTTTGGTAGTGGTCGGTGTTCTTTGTGTCACAAGTTCATAGATGAGAGAGCAAAAAATGGCTCATGAGGCCTGGTTACAAACTAGCTCTGTTATCTAGGAATTTTAAGTTTCAGCTAGCCGCCTACGTGGTTACGCCCAGAGTAGCAGAGAGAACGTGCTAATGTTGACAGTGATATAAAGCAACAACGATGTGAAAGGATGAGATCGTGAACTAAAGGTATGACCCTCTGAAGAACCACAGCATGACAGAGGAATTGATCTAGAGTTTCAGTGCCCCCATTGCAAACAGAGATCAGAGGGCAGCAAGAGAAATTGGACTGGCAACCTTCAGCTGCAGTCAGTGGGCTTGCAATGTTAGATACTGTGGAATCTCTCTCTAGAAATCAATCATTCTCGGTGGACCTGATTTTTCAACATACTTAAATATTTGAGTGATTTAAATATACACATATGGGCAGCAAGAGATTTTTCAAATTTCCAGAAGTAGGCACCTACATCACACTGCCTATCTGTGAAGCTGAATGCTGTTCTGCACCCACACATTATGCAAGTTTTCATTAATCTTGTATGCTTTCATTATACATAATGCCTATTTCAATTAGACCTGCAGTAAGTTTACAACATAGGAAGCAGAAGTGTACCAAATCTGAGTGATATGGGGCTATCCCTGAGAACTGGGGTTAGATGAGAAAAGGTTTGGGATTTATATTGATTGTAGCCCATATCATCCTTAGAATCTTATGCTATACAGCAAGAGCATTTGTATCTGCTATATTTCTCACACCTGCAAACACCCCAAGCTAAGCAGAGAATTGCACTGGTAAATTAGTGTACTATGTTTTTTGTTACTGCTGATTTCTCATCACATCTTCATGCTGTAATCTTTATCACCTTGACAGAATTAGATTGTTCCTTGAAAAAGGAAAATAAATATAACTATGCCCTGGTGTGCTGGGTAAGTTCTCACTGTGAACACACTCCTATTTCAGACCACTTGTCCTTGTGATAGACGTGAAACACTGTTAGAGTAAGGATGGCAGAAGCACCCATACCAGAGATAAAAAAAAAAAAATTAAAAAGTAGCATTCAGTTTCCACAGGCTTTAGCTATGTAAACAGGATTTAATATTGGATACAGTATATTTGTAATTCTATGGGGCAGAGGGGAGACCATACTGATCATTTTACACAAAGAGAGATGTAGTCTGCTGCTTAAGGACCCTATTCTGAAAGACTGAACAATGCCTCACTTCCAGGAACATTTCAGTGTTAGAGTCTTAGATGTGAAAACATCAACAGTAGTGAAGAGCCAGTCTTAGTTCCCTGACAAACCTTGGAGCTCCGTGTTCTGCTACCCCTGTCCACCCAAAATGAGTGGTATAACATGCAGGAGCCCAATTCCTGACCAGTATCAACTTGTGTGGACACATCATACCAGTGCTCCATGCACTGGATTGCCTGACAATCAAATTTATGGTCTTGTTTAAGGTCCATCTTCCTCATGAAGATCATGAATGAACTGGATCCTGGTTACCGCAAGAACAATCTCTCTACATTCCCCACCCTGTTTGCTAGATGCTCAGTTTAGACTGAGAGGCCAAGTTTCATCCTGTGATTGTATGGGAAGATTCTTCTCAATGAAATGTCTAAAGTTATGGAACAAGCCTCCACAAGAGTTCATGTTCAGGCTGAATCTCACCTCTACTGTTGGCCACAGGGCATCTGTTTAAACTTGTATTTCTTTAAACAACCATCAAATAACACCTAATGTGGGAGGAATCAACCAGCAGTCTCCCTCAAATTGCAAGGAGCCAGATTAAAGGGAGAAGGAAAGAGACTGATATTTTCTAGAGGTAATTCTCATTAGAACTGAGAGACATTTTTCAACCAAAACTTTTTTCAGTGAAAAATGCAGATTCTGCAACAATGAAACATTTTTCAAATTCATGTCCAGTTCATGAATTGTTTAGGCTGGATTTAAAAAAAACCCATTCAATTCAGAAAAATCAAAACATTTTGTTTTGACACTTTTGAAATTAAATGTTCTGATTTTTTGATTTGAACTACTTTTAATTTGGAAACTTCCTTGAATTTTAAAAAATAGCTTGTTTAGCCTGAACTGAAATTTTGAACTTTTTGTTTTGCTGAAAAATTTGGTTTTGGTTGGACCCTGAAATATGTTTTGTTTTGGTTTTCTGGGTTTTTTTTGTTTTGGTTTTTGTTTTGGTTTGTTCAGAATTGCCAGTGAACTGAAAAAATCTATTTTTTGCACAGCTCTAGTTATAATGCAGCTTTAATTTTTGTCAGGCACCTGAATACGCCTACATCCACAAAGATAGCTATAAATATTCCATGATACTGAAAAGGATTTGGAGAGCAAAGGTCATTGACGTGCCAGTTGAAATGTTTCAGAAATAAGATAGTTTGCATCCTTGCGCTCCTCTTCACTTGCTCTCACATGGTGGCACAGAGCACTGCAGCTGCATTACATAGTAAGGTCCTGATCCTGCAAATAAATCCAGGTGAACACACCACTGTTTCTACATGTAGGCCCATTGACATCAGTGGGGCTCTGCACACACACAGATATGCATCCATTCAGAGAAACTTGCAGAATCAGCACCTAATTCAGCACCATCTCTCCTCTACCATCAGCCATCCCTGCCCTCTTCACTTCTCTTCCCAGTTAAGAGCAGTGATATGTACTGGTTTTCAGGAGTGAATTATTTCACTTGCTGAAATGGTGTCAAAGAAACAGTGCATTACTAATCAAAGCATCCCAATCATTTTTTTTATTGTAACCTTAGTGCTTTCTTTCTTCCCTTCCTTGATCAGTAACCTGAAGTAGAGCCTTGTGTAAGCTTGAAAGCTTGTGTCTTTCACCAACAGAAGTTGGTCCAATAAAAGACTTACCTCACCCACCTTTTGTTTATAATGTTTATCATTGTTCATTTTCTCTTACAGTAAGGCCCAATCATTCAAACTCTCAGTCCTCAATAGTGGTACTATGAATAAATAGTCAGTCTGGTGAATTTAAGCAACAAAATTAGATTTCTTATTAGCTGTTTTCAGGAAGCTTCACGATACTGCCAACCCCAAATGTTCAAAAATTGGGAGTCAGGCCCCAAAAATCATGAGATTGACTTAAATAATGAATTCTAAAAAAATAAACTCTAGGTTCTTTATTTGATTTCTGGTTTCTGAGCCATTATATTCAGATCACATTTTTAGACTCTATTCTTCAGCCATGAGGGTTAGAAACTTAATTTGTTAACAAATGAAAGTTGAGACTGTCATGTAATGAGCTGACTCCAGAAGCTGAGGCTTTAAGAAAAACAGGAAATATTGTAAGACTTGTGATAAAATGTCAAGAGTTGGCCACACGGCTTCAAAACATCCACTGGTACAGCTTATTCACGGTGATACTGCCTCAAAATCAAAAGCAAGTGGTGATTGTTTGTCTCTAGA